GTCCACCATACGCGAGTGCTTCACCGGCTCAACACGTCATTCGTGTGATTTGGGTTTCATTATAAACTTCTGCGAATATTATTACTTATACTTAGTATAACAAACTAGTAATTAAAATATAATATTATTAATAGATGAACGATGGGTCTTGATTGGCGTGGCTCATAAGACGAATATGGGGAGAGTTTTGGAGATAATTAGTAGAAAAATAAGGAACATAAAAAAGGCAGAATTTCTAGTTTGACAGGCAGGTACTTTAAAATTAATATTGGCTAACAATGTGGGAGAGTCTACCGAGCCGAAAGAAGGCCAGATAAGAATCTTTTGTTAGCCATATGCCTATTACCCGCAAGGCTGGGCAAGTTTAACATATGCACATTAGGTTCCGGCACGCAATTAGCACCCAGTGCTACTAGTCGGTCCGCAGTCGTAGGGGATCCCTTCGGGGCTAACCACTAAAGCCAAGAAACATATGCACATTAGGTGAATAGGTGTACCTGGGCTTTAGTGGTTCACCCCAAAGGGATCCCCTTCGACCGCGGACCGACTAGTAGCACTGGGTGCTAATTGCGGGCCGGGGAATGTGTGTCTCAAGAAGAAGTGACCTGTCGGAAGGCCACTTGTCGGAGGGCTCTACGTCACGTTAGTCGCCTTTTACGACAAATGTGAAGACCATGGTAGAATTCTTTCTCCCCTATCCGCAGGGATGACCGCGCCCAGCGATGCGATCAACCCCCACTGAGTGGCTTAGCAAGGTCCTCGTGCCTCCTCTGCCATGTCGATCACCAACCTCGCTGAGTGTCGCCCAGTAAGGCTGGTGACTAATCACCTTCCACTCAGTAAATGCTCGTGCACAAGAAACCGCGCACATACGAAACCGTGGGCCTTCCACCACTTGCCTAGTGCACCATTCCTGTTTAGGTCTCGTCTTCGTGTTTAAACTCCCGGCAGAGTGGTGTCTATAATTTCCCCGTATAGTTAAAAAAAGTCTTAACAGACATCATAATCTTCAGAACAAGAGTACAAGAATTTTAAGCTAGGACTATTTAACTGAACATAAATCACTCTGTTAGTTACATTGTTATTTGTTACTACCTATAAGTAGTATCTTCCAAGTAAAGCATAGACCATTTCACTTTGAAACGTCTCATAGGGTTTAATTACTAATAGGTTTGTTCTGTATATATTTCATGTAATATGATCACATTTTTTCACATTCAATGATCCCTTTAGCAAAAAATTGAATCATTCTATAACCAGTTTAAAACAGCGCAAGTTCAAGGCGTTCCCGTTGAGTCACCGCGGTTGAGCAGTCGAAGAGTATATGCTCCGCTGTTTCATCAGGTGCACCGCATGTGCAACTCGGATGGTCTAAAAGTCCCAGTGAGTAGAGTTTAGTTTTGAAATTTCCGTGACCATGAGAAATTGTACAACATGATACCTCAAGTAGAGGAGGGTAGATAACTTTCGGGCAACGTTTGGAAAGAATGTGTATGTCCATCTACCAGTTGCACATATATCCCATCTCGCTTGTCATTTATCACAGAAAGCGAAGCATAATTTCCGTAGAATCCTGGCCTTGTCAGCAGAATCTTGTCCTCAAGAGATTTTGATTTCAACTTGGTATCTTGCCATAAGATCAAGTCGCGATGTCCCGGCAATCTGGAGCGAGGAGGTGGCCGCGGTTTGATATGCGCCCGTTTGGCCAATTAGGGCTCTTGTAAGGCCCCATTGGTGAATTATTTTGAGCACTTCCTCCATTCTGTCAACAACAAGACGACGGGTACTTCCGGCTATCAAAACGGCTATGTCATCTACGTAAGCTTAAATTCTTGCGTTCATGGGAAGCTCAGTAAAGAGGAGATTTACTAATTTTGAGTTGATGCGTACCAGCTTTGCCGCAACGTGGTTAAAACCCAAGCACATAAGACACTTCATCTCTTCGAATTTGCTGAGTTTACAGGAATAGAAGCCGATGTACAGTGCTGCGTCTGGATCTCTGAGTAGCCTTACAAAAAGTTCCGGTGCACCTCATCTATCCAGTTGATCATGTTCTTATCTCTAGTGCCACGTCGAAAAATTAGCTTAATCAAGTTTGCCGTTGTATTGGGAGATAGTTCAAGGTAAGGGTTTTGCACAGAAATACTAACCAGCAGTGAGTTCGGAAGTGCTAGGGAATCAACACCCCGAATAATAATTCTAGGCCATTTAGCCGATTCATACTTTATAAGATAATTCTTATCTTTAACGATAGCTTTGAGTGTATTGGCTGTGTCCTCATCAATCGTTTTTACTAAAAATGTCCCTGTTTAAGTTTTGATTAGATCAAGCTATAGTGATTTATGCCTCTTGATGATAACCTCAGTTGTTTTCAGCTGTAGACACGATGTACACCACTAAAACCACTAACCGCGGAAGTAAAAATCGTTCGAATGTCCCCAAATTTGGTAAGCGGGCCAAGTTAGACCACCCGAAGGTGGTTACAGAGTTTGAAGGTTTTAGGCCCAAAACTTAGGGAAGTCCCTTGGAAGGGATCGTAGACCCCTAGGATGGTGGCGTACCAGCTAGGGTACTCCTAACCGAAATAGTCAACGTCTCAACCAATTCTCTAAGTCCATTTGCCACAGAATTATGGCGTTTACGAAAAACCGAAAATTGGGGGGGGGGGAAGGTCAATATTAATATGTTAGGTGCCTAAGTGCCCCTAAGAGGTGGCCGCAGGTTCAGGGTCTCTAGGTTCAAGGCAAATATGCTAGCATGGTTTTAGTCCTCCGGGGGGTGGGGTAACGACGAAAAATTGTCAGAGCTCGAGAACGAACTTATGCTATAACCGGTATAATCGTATGTTCTTCTTAAATAAAAACGTGACCGAACGGGAAACCGCCGTTTGCCGTTTAAGAAATAACACTATTAGGAAGAAGAAAGCACGTTTCTTACCGTTTTGCAGCCATATACTTGTATACTTGTTAACTTAAATTTGCAGTTAACGAAAAAATGTATGGAGGACCGGCTCCAATCGACACCGATCCTCTTGCGCACAATATTTATTTCTAAATTAACAATTTACGTAAAAAACGGGTCACAATTGCCAAAGTTAAAAGCCAAAAATCGGGAGCTTGCGTAAATACGTGTGCTCTCGGCCGCTGTAGAAATGGCTCTGCATAATAGGGAATAGTCATAAAGAGGACAATGGACTTTGAGGACGTATGAGGCGAAACGCAGAAACTTTCTCTGGACTTGCTCAATTATCATTGACTCAACAGCAATGTGAGGGTCCCAAATAACAGACCCATATTCAAGTATAAGTCTTTCGAGAGCACAATAAATAACGTTCACTGTGCCAGATAATTAAAAACCGTATGCAGTCTTTTGGATAAAACTGAGAAGTTTAAGCGCTTTACAGCAAATATCTTCATCGTGTATATGAGGACTCAGGCTTCTCGATAAATGAAAGTCGAGATCACAAATCGAATTACCAGCATGCATGACAGATAGCCCATGAATTTTATAATTAAAGTCGGGTAGTTTAGAAGAGCGGGCAAAAGTCATAACGTGATACTTGGCTACATTAATTTTCAGGTTTAAACATTTTGTTTTTCATTATACCGCCAGCCATTTTCTGCTTGGCGAGAGGGTAGGGGAAGTATGGTCGTCGGAAAAATGTTTCAATGTTCGTATAATATTATTATAGGTACGATTTTTATCGATAGACTAGCATAACAAACTTAACAGTAAAATTTCAATAAATCAAGCATTAGTTTTACGAGTGATTTTGAAATCAAAATATGAGATACACGTAGTTTAAACTCCGATCGAGTGTAATGTATATATGAAATCACAGTGAAAAAACAGCTTTGTCAATAAATCTACGTAAGGGACCCAGTCAAATGTATATATACTTTATTGTTTCGTTCGTAATACACCGCTAAACCGCATGAAAATCGCTTATAAACAGTATAGCAAGCTGATCGATTGAACATTGTCTTAAAAGTTTCATATAATTTAAGAAAATATTCATACCAAACATCAGATATTGTAAGAAAACTTTTAATTTTATATATTTTTTAATATGTCGTTAAGAGCCCCTTAATATTCTAGTATATTATAGTATTATACATTATAATATTATAATATACTGTTTAGAGTATATTGCGTCACCCGACTACAGTCGGCCGATTGGAATGTGCTGACCAAGGGTTTTAGCATGACACCCGATCAACGGCCCCCCGTCGTCCGGTACCCTTTAGTCAGTTGTTGTCTCGCTATACACTTGTACTCACTCTGATACTGTTCCACGTCTTATACTATATTTTGTTATAATTCAAAAATTTGTTATTCCATGTCTATTGTAAAATTCAATTAATCGTGTTGTGTAAATTATAATAGGTAAATCAAAATCAGTAATTCTATAATAAAGAATTACTGATTGTGATTTACTTATTATAACTATCATAAAAACAAGTGTCGTCTTCACTTATTTACATCGGTATCCTTGGGCTCCTAGCCCCACATAACATAAATTGGTGGCAGCAGTAAACGGAGTGAATACTCCAGGAACATCTTCCGAGTGCAAATCCAGCACCAAGGATCGAAATTCAGTAAGTTGAAGAACTTTTCTTGCTTAACCGCGTGTCTGAAGACTGATAGTAGGTAGTTCAGGGTGAACGCAGCCTATCACCGCGTCTTTGCAATTCTCCGTCTTGTACTACTTCTTAACACCGCTTCTTTAATTTCAAGTTCATAGTGGTAACACTGCATCCAACCAGTTCCGTCGTTACCGCCACCGGTGCCGCCGTTGAACGTCGCGCGGTTAAATCGCAGCCGTCGAGACCTATTGGCAACTTGGAGTTTTAAACCGTCGTTGTCAATTGTGTTGCGATTTAGTGGCCAGTGACTTATCAATTCAAATTCTCGTCGTGTTATTCTATCGCGCCCTAGCGGCTAGAGTTGCTCCGACACCGGCAGTTATCGCGTCGCGACCAAGTGACCGATATTAATACTGCGCCGCAGTTAATTTGAATATTTTTTCAATCATACCGAACCGTTATTATTCAAATTAATTGCAATGTAAAAGGGCAAACTATTCAATCCATTGAACGTCAATAAATCTTCAGCACCGTATAATTTATTTTGATATTTATAATTCATCGTTCAGTTCACCTCCGATTTTGTGTCTAACGCCGTTAAAGCAATTCAAATTTTTGCCAACGCCATTTCATTCAATTTCAATCTTGTCGACGCCGTCCAATTGGATTTCAATTTTTGTCAAAGCCGTGCATTTCAACATCGATCTTCGCCAATGTTGTTCATTCAAATTTAAATTTTTCAACCTCGTTCAATTCAACTTCGGTAATTCTACGTCGATCATTCAATATCACAACCCGTAGGTCAAATCCAAAATATGATTTGGATAATTAAAATTGTCGTCATCGTACTGTAAGTTTTTTGTTTTCAATTTATACAATATGGTTTTCATATCTCGTTGACAATAATTTTCTATTTACACATTTTTTTTTTTTACAATAGTAACTAAAATTTTTATTTTTTTTAAAGAAAAGCTTAATAGTTATTTATAAATAATTTTTTCTTATTTTAAGTAATCTTAGGTGTAAATTTTTGAACAGGTTTCTAAAAAAAAAATATTTTATTTTTATTTAAAGAATTTTGTTTATTATTTTATGGTCAATAAATACGTTTGACCATCCGCTTACTCACTCATTGCTACGTAGTTAGTTGAATCTGGAAATAGTCGTTCACATAGTACAAGTGGTAGTGATTATATACTATCAACTTATATAAAGACTACCTCATCCCAATTCTCTACTGAAACGACTCGTGTTCTTCGTTCTAAGCCACAAAAATCCCGTCGTAGTATTAGTTTACCTTGGGATTTAGCGAATAGTGTTGATATTTTAAACAGATCGATTCGCACTTTAGGAAGTACGAATAATCTAATTGATCACACCAACTCCTTGTTGGATGAGCTAATGAGCACATCTACACAAAGTGTTAATCCCATATATACTACTTTTATAGCGTCTACTAGTTCTACTACCGTTTCTACTGCAGCTATAACGTCTACGACCGTCAATACTATTTCTCGTACTTCAAGTACATCTACTAGTTTTCATTCAATTCAAAAAACGTCTACTACTTCAGTAAAAAACGACTAATTCTCACTCTACTCATACAATATCTACCCGGATATTAATAATTAATATGTTCTGAAGATAAATTAAATTATTATACTACGAATAATTGTCATTACCTACGGTTAAACTAGATTCACAATGATTTGGTGGTATACTGGTATCTATTTAATGTATTAAACAAACGATTTATAAAGTAACATGTCCAAAATAACCAAATGGTACCTACTATTTAACGATTACAATAATATTCCAAAAAAAGTATAAGAGATACATTTCTTCCATTACGTCTTCTAGTTCCCATTCAACTAATACAACATCTACTGGTTCTCAGACTACATCTTCTGTCTCCAATACCACTTTTAATACGTCTAGATCGTCTGTTATCTATAATACCATTTCGAATACGTCTACAGCGTTTACTGTCTCCCATACCATTCCTACTACGTATAAAATGATAATTGGTTTCATTTCTACATCATTCTGTCCTCGACCTACTACTAGTTTTCTATACCGAATTCTAAGACATCCACCGTCTCTCACTCAATTTATACCGTTTCTACAGCATCTACAACTAGCTGGTGTACCCTGGTCTTAGAGTAAACTGCAGCTGGTTCGTCGACACAGGTTATTTCTTCTATCTCCAGACCAACGGAACCTGTTCAAAAAGTAGAGAGCGATCAACCAATATATACTATAGGGACAAGGGAAAATCCTGAGTGGGGCCCACAACACATTCGTGCGAGCGACAACCGCAAAGAAGCTTGTTTACAACTTAAATCGTAAACTATATAGTAAAGGTAATCAACCAATCTACAATAAGTCCTCTTCTAATAAATCTATGTGAAATCATATTATTAGAAAACCCCCAAACACTGCCTCAATCATACCAAATCAAGTATGTATCCTTCGATAATAGCTTATGGAATCGATTATCGGACACCAATTCTTGTATATTGTACGCGAGATAAACTAGTCACACTGAATTGTAAATCTCCCCAACGCGACTTTTCTGTTTATATAAAAGGCATTGGTCGACTAATTATATATCCCATCTGTATAGTTCATACTACAACATCAATTCTAACACCCATTTCTAATGTATACTATAACTATTCACAAGATGTAATCCCTCAAAATCCTATGTTTACCATAGTTACTAAGTACATAGGATTACTTAAAGATATTATTCCACAGCATATAACAAATATCGAATTATTTTATGACCTTTGTAAATTAGTCAAAGAATCCCCAAGAATCACAAATGTGTCCACAATTCCAAATAGTCAATTATTTAGTCTAGATCCTGGTCATCGTACTGTAATGACATACACATGCTTGTTAATTTGTATGATATAAATTACAATTGTAATTATCTTTCTTAAGTATAAGACCAGGAAATTAAAGTTTATACGACAGAAATATCAAATACACAGCTCTGAATCAAAGTCAATTAAAGTTTGTTTAAAGCTACCGGTCTCTCAAAATCGTTCTAAATCTTTTGGAATTATATAATATGTGTTTCTATTTTTATTGAGTCAATGGGATTCATTGGACCCCCAGTTCTCATCTAAGTGGGGGGGGGGGTGTTAAGAACCTTTTAATATTCTATTATATTATAATATTATACCCTTTAGTCAGTCGTTGTCTTGTTATACACTTGTACTCACTCTGGTACTGGTCCACGTCTTATACTATGATTGTAAATTATATATAATTCAAAATCAGTAATTCTATATCATAAAAGCAAGTGCCGTCTTCATTTATTTACATGGGTAACCTTGGGCACCTAGCCCCGCATGACAATGTCTTATATTTTAAAAATGTTTTACCTATAGATCTGCGATATTTTTTAATCCGTTAAACTAAAACTTTCAATTAATAGCAATTCCATATTACAGGAATAATTTATTGTAAACAAAATTTACTCCTAAGGGGCAAATAAAAAAAAAAGGTCCGCAAGAAATTCTTGAAATATAGTCAATATATACTATTGAATATATATACTTTCAAACTAGTAGTATAAGCGTCTCTTTCGGCTATTTTTTCAACAATTTACAATTTCATATAATTTTAAATAAAATAACATGCAAACTTTTATTATTTGTTTTTCGATTTTTGTAAAGGGTAGAATAAATTAGTTTAAATTTGGTCCCACAATTACTCTTTAGATACGATTTCTTATTTGTAGACTTTCCACATAAAGATATCGATTTTAGCGGTTCAGAAGATATCGTGCTCCAGTTACAAAAATGAAATATAAACATTTTAAAAACATTATAATTGTAAGAACGATACCTATTATCGGAAAAAATAATTAATTGTCGTAGCGTGTCAGTTTGATGTAAGCGACTTTTATGTTATTATTATTTGCAGCTAACAATGAAACTTTACTGTGTTTTGTTTTCCTTTGCCATTGCAAATATATTGGCAGAAACTATAGGTGATTATTTTTTTTTACACGTTCCAAAACGAGTAAATTTAAAATCGAATTACATATTTAACTTTTATTGGTAGATAATTATAAGATGGAAGTTGTCATTACCAGTAAGTAACACATTCCTTTAATACGAAATAACTTTAATTACTAACTAAAGTTTTTTAAATAATTAATCTTGTTGTTATACATGTTTTAAATTTCAAATTACAGACGAACTAATCAGGCAAGCTGATAAAGTACGGGGTAAAGTATATATAATTAAATATTTTGATAATATATATATATATATTTATTTAATGATGTATAATAATATTTTCATTACATATATTTCCTATATGAAAATATAATTAAATTAAATTAAATCATAAATTAAAAATGTCTGTTCAATAATTTGTTCAGATTAAGAGTGCACGACATGTATAGTATTATTGTTTGTAACACGGTGTAAGTACTTAACTTATGATGATTAAATTATTTATACATATAAAGGAAGATTTTAAGTTATTGTAGTTGAGTATCACGGAACAAGGAAATGTATATTTCTATCTACATAAATTACTCTACTGTACTACACCTCACGACCTTAATTTTAAACTTCAATAACTTTAAAAGAAATGATTTCAACGGCTTATAGAACGATTCAATTTTTAAAGTAAAATCATCACAATCTATGATCCCTAGTAAAGGGATCATAGATTGTGAAAAACTGTGATCATATTCCATGAAAACTATACAGACCAAACCTATTAGTAATTGAACCCTATGAGACGTCTTAAAGTGAAATTTTCTATGCTTTACTTGGAACATACTTCTTATAGGTAGTAACAAATAACTATGTAAACAACAGAGTGATTTAAGTTCAGTTAAATAGTCCTGGCTTAAAACTTCTTGTACTCTTGTTCTAAAGATATTGGTATCTGTTAGGATTTTATTTGACTATTTTTGTATAGCTCAAACTATTATGTCTTTATTCCAGGTGGGGTTACAAATGCAATAAGAACAATTTTCTATGAAAATACGCAATATAGTATGGGTTATACTATGGGTAATTATATATATAAAATAAAAAATAATAGTCAAATCATTAGCTAATCATTATATTTTATTGTATTTCACACATCTGCTTCAGTGCAGCTATTTTATTATAGCCACTCGGCTGTGTTTTGCTTATCGAACGAGCAACAGTCTCGAGTGCCGAATTTATGCATTGTGTTTAATAAATATTATAGCATGAAAAATGATTTTTCTAATAACGAAAAGTGTTAAATTTTTTAACATAAATTAACTAGACCGCACACAAGCGGTGGCTTGTACGACATTTTTCAATTGATATATATATATATATATATATATATATATTTCGATATTTATTTACTCGAATTTATGTATAAATTCTGCACTCTATTAAATAAAATATTAATATAAAAATATAAAATAATCCAGTTTTAGTTAATGATCTATGTATGTTATAATAATTTCAGTGGATTATATTTATATGTTGACTGTACCAGGTAATATTTTTTATTAAATGTATGGAAGTCTTTCTACTATATTAATTGAAATTCATTAAGTTTTTTTTTTTAATTTCAGATCAAGCAGCCACTAATGTCGAAAATATATCTAGTAATATATTATTTCATTATCATATTTATTGTAGTTTACGCAAAGGAAATTATAATAATTTACACATACATATTAGGGTGACGCAAAAAAAATCTATCTTCGAAATTTTATTTGGCTTATATTTTAACTTGTTCTATACATTAAAAAAAAACCTTCTAACAGATCACCTTTTAAATTAATAGTAGCTTTTATAAAAAAGATATCCCTAAATATTCAAACCCCTAACTTAAAAATAAGTAATGTTTTTGGTAATTTTTATAGATTTACATGAGGAATTTTTCTATATAAAACAATTTTAGCTTTCTAAATAACATTTTTTCGATTTAATAAAAGATTTTTAATATGTAATATTTAAAATATTATATATATGGTTATAAAATATAATTTATATAAGAGTGGTTCTTTTTTTTTTTGTAAAATATCACGTTGGATATTTATTTTTCTCTTTTATCACCATGTTTGCGCTTCAAACTTTATAAACAAATATACAATTTTTATACACGACTTCTAAACAAAGCTTACAACCAGTAGCCTAATGCAAAAGTTAGAGCTTGGGATGGAGCTGAAGCTAGAGTTGAAGCTCTAGTTTCGGTGGTGGAGATGGAGTTTTAGATAACAGCTTACGTACGAGTCCGCAACCACGGGACACATTTAATGTTTTTGCTTTGGCACACAACCGAAAAAAATTTTTTCAGCCAAGTCTGCAACCACGAAAGAGCATTTTCATGTCACGTTGAAGTACCGAATAAATTTAGAGTAGTGGTGGAATTATATATAATATATATATATTAAGATATATTAAGAAGCCGTAACAAGCTAGTATAATAAAACATCAAGATTCTGGCTAATATTGTAGTGTTTAATATCTGGCTTAAAATAATTCATAGAAAATTTGGGCCCTTAACCTATTTTGAATTTTAACTTGATAATGTATTATACTAGCTTGTTACTGCTTCTTAATATACTATATAACTATCTATGATTCCACCACTACTCTAAATTTATTCGGTACTTAAATGAGACATGAAAATGCTCTTTCTCTTCAAAGGAACTTTTTATTTCTAACTGATTACCTTTTTATTTAACAGTAGCCTATTTAAAGAACAATCCCTATAATATCAAACCCCTAACTTAAAAATAAATATATTATATTAATTTGTATTTTTAATAGATTTACATTGGAAATTTGTATTTAAAAAAAGTCTACCTTTTTAATTAATCAACATTTTTTCAGTTTAATAAAAGATTCTTAAAGTTAAAATATGAACATATTATAAACATTATTAAACATTTATTGATATATTTGATATCCTATTTTAAAATACTAATTCGTTATATTCAAAAAATACTAATGCAGTCAAAAAATGGTTTATAATTTCAAAAGGCAGAAAAATAGTCACAATCATGTTTTTTTTTTGGTAATAGTGAATTTTTAGTTTACTAAAAAATGTTCTCTTAAAAACTAACAACTTGTGTTCGATAAAATCCATAGTTTATGAGTTACATCTCATTTCTTAAGCTATTATTTTATTTTATTACGTGTGGTATCTATGGTAAGCATGCTATGTGTAGTAACCGTTGTATGTGAAGCATGTATGGAAATCATGGCATGAGTGGTAACCGTGGTGTATGAGATAACCGTTGTAACTTCTGTTGTAAATTGTGTGTGACATTGACAAAGGTTAGTTATCTGTGGTCCGTCAACCCCGCAGTATTTAATGACTACAAACCCTTTTTGTGGTACATAGATAAGAGGATATTAATTATGATAATGATAACGATAATAATAGCGGTTACAGTTATTACCATAGATACCACACATACCACATGCGTTAAATTAAATTAATAAAACTAAAAAAAAGTAATAAACGAGATGGATACTATAAATTTTGTCGAACAATTTTTCCAACACAAGTTTGTATGAGAACTTTATTTTGGTGAACAAAAAATACACTGTATCTATTAAAAAGAAAAGTGTTTGTGACCGTAAGTGGGCCATTTTGAATTTTGGATCATTTTTTAGTTTTTTTTTAACGAACCCTTTCGAAATCTAAAAGTCTCTAATGACCAACTTTTTGAGCAGAATAGTAATTTTTGAGCATAATCAGTTGATAACCAATTTCTAAACTGATCTTACTACCAGTTATCTCATGCAAAACTCCATACTATAAACTTATCAAATATTCAATATTAGATTCGTCTGTGTTCCTTGATAAGAATTATCCTAATCATGTTCTCAACTGAAATGTAAATGACTATATATACAAAGGATTAAGGGATGTCAACAAATCTGAAAAAATTAGGAAAATATCTATATACATTTTTATGTCTATCGTAATACTATATGTTAATTATTAAAATGTATTTTATTTTGAATTATAGAATGCATAGAATATGAGCATATTGTCCAAAATGCAATAGTCAAGAGCATTGATTGTAAATATAAAATTAACAATATTTTAATCGGCCAATTCATAAAATTGATAATAATTATCATGTAATTATTACAAAGTTCTATATGTAAATAAAAACCATAAGCATTCAATTTAAGTTCAAAGTAATAAAGCTGTATATTTTTTGCTTAAAGTTTTAACGGTCTTTTGTGACCAAACTCAAATCGTTTTTGTAAAATAAAGATAGTCTAAGTAGTCTTAGTTTTGAAGTGCCTTATATAGATAAGAAACGAACATTAAAATTATATATTATCTGTATGCTTATATACAATTTTTGTTACAGGTATCAAGTCGGTGCCTGCTGCTGAAACTCTAGGTATTGAAGCATTTATTCGATAGTAGTTAGTAGCATTAAGATTAAAAATAGGATCGCGTTTTTACAAACAACCTGTATAGCAATTAAATTTTTAAACAGATTTTTTCTTGCTCTTATTAGCCTTTGTCTGCTTTACAAAAAGATAACCATTATTAATAAATAACTACAATTATTAAATCATATAATTTAATCACTTCTGAATTAGTTCTTTCAACCAAAGGAAAGCATAACTTTTCATATAAACGACATTCGTAAAACAATTAAGTGACAAAAGTGCTAAAATTCAAAAACATCATTGCTTAGAATTGAAAGTGGTGATTATTTAAAAAGTTCCCAACAATATGTTAAAATTGTACAAACTACACTGATTCAAATGTAATGAAATCATGTCACAAGCAACTAACTTTTTTATTATTATTTATTTTAATATTTGTGAGATACATCACGATTTAATTATTTTTACAGTGAGGGAAATCAGCAAAGCTGATTTGAAAGTTGATAGTATGACAAGAAGAGATATGGTTAAAGTTTATATTAGAAATTTAATAAAATTTCCTTCAGGTAAACATCGATATTTTCTTTTATAATCATTAAAAATCAATGAATTGGAATTTAAAAATGTATTGATATTGTGTAACATTGCTGTAAAATTACAATATGGACACCATGTATATGGTATTATTTTCTCATGTACAAATGTACAAGCCTAACAAGCCAAAATAATAAATATACCCTTTATCGCATAATTAATAGTTTATGGCGTATACGTATTTCGGCAGCAATGTTACCGTCATCAGGCCATACAATCGTCTGAGTATCTCAATACCTACATTTAATATTATAGAACTGTTTTCAGGTGGTCATTATAAATTCAATTCTCTTGAAAATTGCATTTTAATTGGATTATACATAACTTCATTGCTTCAAGAACATCAAGCACATAAATTTATGAAATCTGCAAGTGTTGACACTAATGATAATTGCACACTTACTTCTGCACAAGGAGATTTTACTTTCTACGCAACAAATACTATGATTGGCGTATATCAATATTGGCCGGACAGTCACAAAAAGATATTACTTGATAACATAGAATTGTAATTTCTGTTAGCTCAGCATTATATTTTACATTAACTATTTTTATGAATAATAAATACATATTATGTTACAGAAACCTATTTTCATTATATTAAATATTTTTTATATCGCACTAATATACCTGTAAAATTGTTAGCTATTTAAATGTATTTCATAATAAACAGTTTTGATCACGATTTTAAACACATTTGTTGGGTGTTTGAATTTTTTATATTATTTCAATTTATTCATTATGATTGGATTCAATATCCTATTACAAGTGTAAAAAATGTCATCGGTTTACAGACGACAGTATTTGTTATTATTTCAATTTAAGGTTGATTATAGTTATCTATAAAAATGAACAATTATCCAATCGAAACACATTTTTCGAATCCATTTTATGTTTATATATGTAAGAAAAATTGTATGCGTGTGTGTGACATCGACAAAGGTTATTGGTTAGTTATCTGTAGTCCGTCACCCCCGCAGTATTTAATGACTACAAACTCTCTTTGTGATTAACAGATAAGAAGATATTAATCATAATAATGATAGAAATTATAATAGCAGTAAAGTTAACGACAACGATAAAGACAATAGTTAAGATAATTATTACAATAAAGATAATCATACACATAACAAGGTTACAGTCATTGTCATCGATACCACACATACCACATGCGTTAAATTAAAAATAGCTTAAAAAACGAGATGGATATTATAGATTTTATCGGACCATTCTATCATAATAATATGTGTTAATTAAAATGTATTATGTTTTGAATCAGAGAATGAATAGAATATGAGCAACTGTGTAAAATGCAATAGTCAAGAGCATTGATTGTAAATATAAAATTAACAATATTTTAATCGGCCAATTCATAAAATTGATAATAATTAACATGTAATTATTAAAAAGTTCTATATGTAAATAAAAACCATAAGTATTCAATGTAAGTTCAAAGTAATAAAGTTGTATAATTTTTACTTAAAGTTTTGACGGTCGTTTGTGACATGACTCAAATCGTTCTTGTAAAATAATGTTTTATTTTGGTCTAATTAGTCTTAGTTTTGGAGCGACTTTTATAGATAAAAAACAAACTCATAAATTATACATTAACTGTATATAGGTACTGAAGCATTTATTCGTTAGTCGTTAAGATTAAAATTAGGATCGCGTTTTTACAAACAACCTAAATGGCAATTCATTTTTTAATATTTGTTAGCTATGACGCGTTTAAATTATTTTTACAGTGAATGAAATCAGCAAAGCTGATTTGAAAGTTGATAGTCGTACAAGGAGATGTATGGTTAAACAACATATTAATTATTTAGTAAGGTATCCTCCAGATAAATATAATATGTAAAAAGTGGGTTTAAGTATTTTAAGTTGTAGTAAATTTTGAAATAATAATTAGTATTCTATATATCAGGAAGTATGTCGCAATATATAATTAATATATTGTTTTCCTTTACACTAAAAATACGTAGTTATTAAGCCAAAAATTTGTATTAAAAACAATGTTGTTTTTGTAAGCACTCGTGTAGGTATTACTATAATTTTATTAGTAATTTAAAACGGGACAAATTTGGGCAACTTTTTAATATTTATACCCTTATTATGTACAAAATGTACTTAAAGAAAAATAGTTATCTAAATGAACGTTCATTCATTTCTGATAACGTTATTAGCTCTTATTTGTTCAGTACCCAATTATTATTGTATACTGTAACTTCATGGTTAATATAACTAATAACGATACAGTTTTTTTTTTTTAATCTTTGACCAGCTTAAAGTTTGGTTCCTTCAGCTGTAGATATACCTCAACATTTAAGGAATATAGTCGACTTTCTACTAAATCGTGATAAAATAAAGCTTTTCATTTGATTTTAGTACGGGGGTGAGTAGGGTTAGTTGTTACACTTTTGATATTTTCTAAATTATTTTCTAAATGAATGTTAGTACATTTTAACTTAATAGCTACCATTATACGTACAAATTTATGTATTCAAATTTTGAATAACAATGAAAATGTTTTAGTTACCAAGTCAAAATGGTACAACTTGCCCCAATGTAGGATAAATTGTTACATACCATGTGCAAATTATAAGGTCCATGTGTAATATAAGAAAATCACAATACGTGATAACGATTTGTTATCTGCCGCAAAGCAGGTCATTACAAAATTATTATATTGCCAAAATGAATAAATATTGTTTACTATAAATTATAATTAGACGATAACTTTGTTGTGTTAAAACAATGTTTTATAGCAGGTGACTTTATACAACTTTTATGGCACAAAAACTTATAATTGTTATTTTGTGTAATTAATATGCGAAAGTAGTGTAGAAAAAAAACGAAAAAATATATCTATTTTTGAAGTTTATTAAGACATTCAATTATTGTAGTTCTGGAATAATTGTGATTGCTCCCTAATATGCTCTGAGCTTTAAAAAAAAAAAAAAATATCTATTATATATTACATTTTGATAATTAAGCGCTGACTTATAATATATTAAATTAATTTTTAAGCAAAGCATATTCGTTTTGAAAAAAAGTGGGATTAATTGATCTTTTTCCATAAAAGCAGCTGAACATTTTTCTTTATTTGTTTTTTTTCCTAATCGAGGTTTAGGAATTAAAATTAGACCTAGAACTTAGAATGAAATATTTGTACAAATAAGAACAGTTACAACGAAAACAGTAGTAGAAAATACAAAAACAATTTCGTTTCCACAGCAAATGAATAGATTTTAAAATTGAAACGCTCGATAAAATATCTGTTTATATTTTGTATTGCCAATTGAGAACAATTTAAAAACAACCGGCTAGGTTAGGGAAGAGGTTGATGCAATGGTTGGAATTATTATCATACTTGCTGGAATTCGGAAAAGAACATACTATGCAAACGCCTTTTTACGATATTCATGTGTATATTTATATATGAGTATTTTTGTACTGAAGATTACTAAAATATTGACACATTTTCTAGCATACGAGTAGATATAATACTAAGTATAGCTGTTTATACACATACACATTTTAAAGCGGTTTACGTCGTGTTGGTAAATTGTTCAATCTACTCAAATTCGGTTTTAAAAACTATTACTGTGGAATTCAAATACCAATTGGGTTCAAAACCCTGTTTGAAAACATAGGTTAGATACAACATCGAAGGCGATTTTTTCCATACAAATCCATAGGTGTAATTAAGGGAGGGAGAACCCATTTCTAGAATACCCTCCCTAGTAGCTCAGTGGCTACATAAAAAAATGTACCGTATTTTCTATTAACTGAAAATTATTTTTAAAACATTTTTTACTTTTTAGAGGTTTTTGTGTGTCACAAAAAAGGGTTATGATACAAATAGATAATTTGAAGTGAAAATAATATATTGACAATCTTGATTGAACGTGTATTGGGAACAGCATGCTTACTTATTAGATATTGAAGAAAATGCTCTAAGTTAGAATTTATGGTAGCCAAAAACTGTTGTAAAAATTATAAGTTTGATTCCAGTGAATAGGTTTTGAGGGGGGGTTGAAGTGACCTGTTTTTGGACATTTTAGGCCTAGAAGCCTGACATAATTACACCAACTCAGGATGGTTAGATTTGAATTCTGAAAAAATATTTGAATTAATCGGTCAGTTTTCTAAGTTAATGTAGAAATCGACTAATAATATTTCATTTAATATTGTGTTTAAATCCTATTTTATTTGTTCAAATTTGTCTTTGTAATGTAAATGAAACAGTTATTCAACAATCGACTTCCATAATACTCGTATAACATGCATTCAATACCTTCAAGGTAGTCGTTGAGCAATTGATATTTCCTAATTTGTATAAAATGCCTAATTTAGCATGTATGTTATATCACAATATTTGTATAATCCACATTATTATCCAAACATTTATAAATATTCTATAAGAGATGGAATGTATTCTGTCAGTATTAAAATATATATATTTTTCTATACATTTATAAAACTGATTTCGGAATACTGACACTTGCCCTACAATTTAAATTACTCGAGAAAAAAATGTATGGACTCAAAATATAATAGTAATAAAAACCGTTTTAACGTTGGAAACTTCAAATAATATAACTAGGTCGATAATAAATTATGTTGTTTTTGTTTTCGAATATTTTCTTATTTAGGACATTGGTGTGTGACTGTAACTGTTTGAACAAGCATACAAAATAACAAATAAAAACAAGTAGTTTTCTTATTTCAAATAAATAATACAACTTAGAACGTGTTTTCAATACGTTTTCCCGTTTAAGAAAGTGAATATACAATTATTTAGAAAAGTAATGATGAAGGTTTTTAATTTTGTATATAAAAATAATATAGTAACATTATTCATGACCGGATGTAGATATTTTTAGGTGTTCTAAGACCAATTGTAGGAATATGGATAATATTTGATAGGTAGATATTAGAAAAGCTACTTAGTTAAATCTCAGCCAGACACCACAATTTGAGGTTACTGCTATTTAGCAATAGGTTATAACAAACCCAACTGCCAAATTTGTTTGTTGTGCCTATTTACCATTTTAAATATGTTATAAGCCGTTATAAAAAAATGTGGCAGTTTGTTATTATTTCACCAGTGTCATCTGATTAAGAATGACTATCAAGTTGAAAGTTAAAACGCCTCAAATCGAAACGAGACAGTCTTGATTTATTATGTTTAAGTATAAAAAACTGTAGCAGTATTATATTTTTTTTTAACCGAAAAACCAAGAATTGTATTACAGAAACTTTGGTTGGATTAAACGTCAATTCATGTCTGGCCGGACACGAGGGCATTTGTTCCCTTAAACGTTTTTTTTTCATCTTCCTATTAAATTGTGATAAAGACAATTTTGATCTGATGATATACCTTTACATAGAAAAGGAAATGTAGATAATACATTTTACAATTTGCACGCTAGGAACTAAAAGAAATTTTTAGACCCTTAAGAAAAGTTGTATGACTTTCCGGTCGTTATTTTGCTAAGTTCGTTTCTTA